GTGGTGGTGGTGGTGGTGGTGGTGGTGGTGGTGGTGGTGGTGGTGGTGGTGGTGGTGGTCACAACGACGATGCAGTTGTTGTTGATGAAGATGCTTATGAAAGTCCTCTGAAGAAACGTTGGAACGACTTTTAGTAAAAAAATCATTTGGGAGGGGCAAGTCTTCATGGAGATAAACTGGCGAGACGTCTAACAATCCTAGAATAATGAGAAGATGAGGGTCCGGAAGACGAAAATGACTAATATGGGACGTTTAGAAGGATACCTTTCTTTGTTTTTGTGCGGTTGATACCCTCCAGGCTGGCACGCGTTCGTACTCTNTAGCCTATCAGGTCCAAAACACATATAACGACATTTAGACGGAGAGAATTCCATTAGCCATTTTGAGCTCCAAGCTGAGAGAGCAAGCAAGTCAGCATGGATTTGCTCCAGGCAATGAAGGCTCGTAGATTTTTTAAAAGAATATACACATTTGAGATCATCGGCATAAATAAATGATTGAGAATGTTTAACTGCGGCTGAAATATCATTTATGTAAAGTAAGAACAAAAGAGGACCTAAAACGGTACCTTGTAGGACACCGCTCACAATAGGACTTTCACTGGAAAGTGAAGATCCCACCAAAACCTTTTGTTTACGATTAGACAGGTATGACCTGAGAAAGTCTATTAGTGGACTGCGAATTCCCATAGCTTCCAATTTAATCAAGAGTCTTTTATGTGGCACTTTATCAAAGGCTTTACTAAGATCAAAATAAATTACGACAACAGATAGGTGATCATTACGAAGAGAGGTAAGTAGATCGAGAAACGTCAGATGACATGTTTCACAAGAGCGATCTGGTAAAAAACCATGTTGGGAAGGGCTAATAACTTTATTGGCTATGCAAAATTCGGTAATTTTTATGGCGATAATTTTTTCAAAGATTTTGGCGAGAGAGGGTGTTTTATGGACACCTCGATAGTTCTGTACGTCAGAACGACAGCCAGACTTAAATACTGGAATAATAATAGAAGTTTTCCAATAGTCAGGGAAGAAGCCATTTACGAGAAATACTGAAAAGATTTTGCTAAGCAGAGGAGGAAAATCTCTTAGTTGTTTTATCAAAGAGTTTGGGATATTGTCCGTACCTACTGAGTGAGAGTTAGGAAGATGACTTATCAGTTTTTGAATACATTCAGGAGAAAAATTAATGAAGCTAAGAGAAGCATCAGACAACGAAGGAATTAAAGGGATCGGATCAGTTTCAATGGTGAAATGCTTGGCAAAGAACGAATTTAAAATTTCTGCTTTGCCTGACTCTTCTGTATTGAAGGCATCACTTGCACTAAGCAAGGGCGGAATGACTTGGTGGGACTTAGCAGATGATCTCCGACGGAAGATCTGAGCAACTGATTTAGAAGAATTCACATCATTAATAGCCAAAGACTCTCTACGCCTATCTCGCTCGAGCCTTATTTTCGAAGCTAGTTCAAATATTTCAACAGTTCTTAGATGAACTGATAATGAACTCACAGAAGGATCTTTAAACTGCTTCCGTAACTTTTTAAGTCTGTTTTTAAGAAAGTGTGGGATAGCGGTGGAATTAGCACTCGGTTTGAACATCTTCCGAGGAATAAGGTCAAGAAGACCTTCTGTTACGCATTGTAATAAATTGTTGAAAAAATTTAGATCATTATTTGAAAAATATTGTGCCAATCAAGAGTGCAGGTAAAGTTATTTACTAAATCCTTATTAACATTAGCAAAGTCAAAAATACTACGTTGAACTGTTGGCTTTGCGGAAATGGCAACTGGAAGGCGACAATGAATTAATGCATGATCACTTGCAAAGAGGTCATGATAAAAATCCATAGTTAAAGGGAAGGTGCCATTAGTAAAAATTAAGTCTAAAACATTATCGTTTCTGGTCGAAGAGTGAACTAATTGAGTCAGGTTTGAAAAGTAAATTGTGTCAAGCAGCTTCTGGAATTTAGGAGGAGAAGTATGTGTGTGCCAGTCAATTTCTGGCAAATTAAAATCGCCTACGATTATCTTGACATCGAAAGAAGTTTCTGCAATTTTTTCAAAGAGTTCGCAAAGTTGGCTTTCATTACCGGAGGAACAAGGAGGATTATATACACATCCGACTAAGGCTTTCCTATTTTGAGGAAGGATTACCGAAGCAAAACATAAATTTCCAGAGAAGGAGGAAATGTTCAAGTTATAAGGCGATTGTGCAAGTGAGGATCTTATGTAAAGAAGGCATCCACCGCCGCGTCTGTCGGCACGGTCCTGGCGGTATAAACTAAGGCTATCTATGTTAAGTACCGAATCTGAAATTAGAGAGTGGGCCCAAGATTCAGTAATGCACAATACGTCTGTGTCAAACTCAACAGCTACACTTCTTAGGTGTGCCATCTTTTGTACAACAGATCTTGCGTTGAGAGAGACAATACTGAGCGTATTCCTAATATGTAGGTTCCGCTCATTGCTACTTATAAAAAAGGAAGAGCCGGAGGTGGAAAATTAAGCTGAGGGAACGGAGCAATTGGTGGAGGACAAAGTTGCTGCGGTCTAAAATTTATGGGGTAATTACTAGTTAGAGATGCAGCATTAGGTGGAAAAACATTTGAGGAGGACCCAGGAAGAGGAAAACTATTTTGTTGGGTTGGAAAAATAGGAGGCAAGAAAATAGGATTTTGGGAATTGTTAGCATAATACGAGGGGTAGTTTATGTTAGGTGGCGGACGTAATGGTTTCGGGAAACAGTTAACATCAGGAAAGGGCTTTATTATTTGGGGTGTCAGGCTAGCAACGGGAATGGAAAATTTATCAGCAATGCAATATACTTGCATTTTGCAGTCTGATGTGTAAGAGGGCTTCACAACTGTGGCGGTAAGTTGAGAATTCAGGATAGGAACAGGTAAAGACCTCCCTGAACTCTCATCTAGCTTATTAGACCTAACTGCAAGGTCAGACCTGAGTGGCCAGACGTGGGAACGAGGTGGATTCGATGTCAGTTTATTAACCAAATCACTATTCTGAGTGCTGGGAGCCGGTTGTGCTTCAAGGACTAGCTCATCTTTACTGCTAAGATCAAGCTCCCTTATAAATTTGGGAGCCGCATTTGAACAATCCTTGCTCCGTGGGGGAGTTTTAAAGAGGCTAGTTTTAACCGTCTCTGTGATAATGTGATCAGTCGAAGAGCTAGATGGAACTGGGGCCGCTGTAGATAGTGGCGGGATTTGGTCGACACCAGATGGAGAAACTGCTTTAGAGGAAAAAGACATTTGGGTAGAATTCGGGGGTGGCTTTACGTTTGGTAATATGGGAGAAATTTTTCGTTGCAGTGGAGTCTGGTCTCGACTAATAAAAAGTTTATTTGCCCTGAGATATTGAGTTGATCGCTCCAAATGGGAGAAAATAAAATCCACTTCAATCGATGAAAATAGTTTGACAAGAATGGGTGGATTCTTGCTCCTAGATGAAAGCCTTTTGGCTTCCGCGACCCTAAAGTTGAAGCCGCATGAAAAAAGGAATTGAAAGGCGACATCAATTGGCTGTCTACTCTTGGGAACGTTTTTTAATATAAAGTTGAAACTTCGTTTGTGCCTGTCTTCAGTCTCAGTCGCAACCAGGTTAATGAGAGGCATGAGCTTCTCACACTGCTGAGACGTAAGCGTTGGCAAATTTCCGTCAAGAAGGGCACCAAGGACAGAAAAAATTGATCCGCAACGAGACATAAAGTTGTTAAAATCATCAAGCGCCCCTAGATCAATTTTTTTCATATGAACAATGGGTTTCAGATGAAGTTTAGTTTCCTTCAGATTTCGACGAAGGGTTGCTTGAGGTTTCATGCCGAAAACGCAATACAAGACTTAAGTCCAAATATTTATATGGATGATAACTGCCGAAACTTCGAGGATATATGGATGAGGCTATGTATGATGAAACGATTTATGAAAGCGGCAAATATTGGTGGACCAGACAGCACAATTTATACTAAGCAAGTTTTACTCAATACCAGAATGCAAACTAGAAAAAAAAACGAGCAAATGACAATTTCGTAGGTGGTAAAACAGAACTATGAATAAATCTGAATTAGATAATGAGGCTATGTAGGATAAAATAGATAACAGTATAATTCTCAATAAACTGACGATGAAAGCCGTCAGTGGAGACGGTTTATTGTTTAAAATATAATGTTAATCTATATTTTTACGAGGAAAACCTTTTGTTTATGCAGGTAAGACTTGATAGGATTGAGGCTATGTTGGGTGAAAAACTGCGACAATAGATTTCTGCTTTATGACAAATCGCAGAAACACGACAGGAAGCGAAGAAGACTTATGACAAAAAATAGAAAATTTCGTCAGGTCTACACTGGAAAACTGTGCAAGGGATTAAGAAATTGAAGCCAAAAATATAACTTCAACTTGGCAAAGCAAGTGCCACCATTCAGCAGGGTGAAAAGATCAGCCGGAACCGGTAGTGGAAAGCAGTTTGGCGTCAGTGCGGCACTGAGACCGGTGGAGAAGTCAGCACAAATGCGAATCGAGCCATTGGGCTTCTTAACCACAACGATTGGAGCGGCCCAAGCGGAGTAGGATACAGGAACCAGAACTCCCACTTCCTCTAGACGCTTCAGTTCAGCCTCGACAAGTGGTAGGGCTGCATATGGGACTGGTCGCTTTGGACGGAAGACTGGTTGACTTCCAGGAGACAGATGTAGCACGGCTTGAGTGTATGTGCAACGACCCAGGCCGTCTTGGAACACTGGAGCAAAGCGTTGGAGAATGTCCTTGGCTTGGTCTGCAAGCACAGCGGAAATCTGCATCTGACTGCAAACAACGCGGAGCGGCATATCAGCCAATCCAAGTTGTTCAATCCAGTCGAGACCAAGTAGGTTGAGGTCAGACTTGGTGATGTAGCAGATCGCAGTGATGTTGGTACCGCGGAACGACACACAGCATTGCAATTGCCCAATTAGCTGTACGAGACCACCGCACGCGCTTGTGGCGGACTGGGAAGTCGGCTGCATCGTGGGACTGCCAAGGGACTGCCAGAGTCTCTCAGAGATGATGGTGATATCTGAGGCAGTGTCCAACTGTAGGCGAACTGCATGGCCATTGAGCAAAACCTCAACAAACTTTCTACGACCAGACGCATTGAGCTGGAAAGCGGCCAAGAGACTGTGAGAATTACCAACGGACTGGGGTTTGGGCTTGCGTTTTGGCCGGAAACGGTGCCTGGAATTAGGAGTGGCGGGGGCTGGCTTGCCTCCAGAAGCTGGTACTGATTTGCAGAACCCATCACGGTGTCCCACCTGATGACAGCTTTGGCAGCGATGCTGGCGGAAAGTGCAGTCCCGGTGGAAATACCACGCGCCACAGTGCCGACAAGGAGATGACGGAGATCTCGCCTTGGACACTTGTTTGGGTCGTGTAACAGGATGCGATTTGGTCGATGTGACCGTATGGACTGAGAAAGATGAGGCAGAGTCGTGCTTGAGATTGGTCAGCGTTTGGCACTCTGCTGCCAGCTCTTGGAGTGTGAAAGAGTTGCTCTGCTGCACTTTGGACAGGAGACGTGTCCGGATATCAGCATCCTTGGTGGACTGGAGGCCGCAGATAAATATAAGGCATTGAAACTGGTCTTCAGTAAGAGAACCGAGTTGAAAACGCCCACATTCACGATTGACAAGGCCCGCATACGTGATAAAATCATCGGAATCGCGTTTGCACAGCTGCAGGCACTGAAATCGAGTGTTGAAAAGGGATGATTGATCACCAAAAATCTGCGACAACGTCTTAACCGTGTCCTTGAAAGCGACTTCTCGGGGATTCTTGGGGAGGATGAAGTTTGAATAACGCTTGTGTTCAGCCGGACCCAGTTTGCGAAGTAGGAGTCGAACTTTCCATGCATCGTCCTGGGCAGCCAGATCGACAGAGAACAAGTCCTCGTATCGTTTGTACCAGGAATCAAGGGTGATATGAGCCTGCGCGTCATACAAGAATTCCGTGATGCTGCCGGCAATGTGATCAACAGATTGCGAACCACCAGCCGCACTTGATTGACCCATGGACGAGTTGGACAGCTTAACCGTGAGTGCTTCCGTTAGCTTCAGCTGCTGCTGCAACATCTGCTTCAAGTCTGCGTACTCGTCAGCCATTGTAGTTGAAAAACTGCGTCGCCAATTTGTTATGACCCGCCTGGTACTTGAAATCCTGTGGAGCGTATGCGCACTCGACCCTTGTCCCCAATACCAACGCGGCAGAGAAGGAGAACGCAACCGGCCACGAAAATGTGTATAAGGAAATTGCAAGTCAAGATTAACTGGAAGTAACGCATATTTATAACGCTCTACTGTGCTTCGCCGGCGTTCGACCCAATGCCCTTCGGGAAGAACATTCAAGACGAGCCGGTCGATAATTCGAATATGCTGATCGATCAGGCCCGAGAGGAAAAGCCAATGGAGAGGCGCCACGATAAAGATGACAGCGCAGTAGAGAAAACGCACGTGGCCTCCCGTGATTGGCTGGCTCTTGTTTTTGGGAATGTAGGCACTCCCAACAAAAGGGTAACCAACAAAACTGGGTAGAAGACTTCTTGACCGGCCGACGGCAGTCTGTGTGCATTGGTCGTGCGAAGTCAGCGCCAGTGCCAGTTGTGAGTGGAGTTCCCCAGGACTCTGTGCTCGAACCAGTACCGTTTTTAATTTATGTCCTCGACTGTATGAATGGACTGGACTACAATAAATTCACATTTGCTGATGACGTCAGGTTATGGCAAGTGATAAACGGGGAAAATCATGAACGGGCCCGGCAAGAAGGACTGGACCGCCTATGGGAATGGTCCGACAAATGGCTGCTAAAGTTTAACTTTGAGAAGTGTGTCGCTCTGCAACTCAAGACGAATGACATAGCTGATGAAGAGGATTATCAGCACCTCCTTGACAAAAGGTGCTTTTCAAGTATGACCGAACAAAAAGATCTTGGAATCAACATTTTGTCGGTTTTTAGCCCTCCTCTCAATGTGTTTGGGAGGCCAAAAGGGCAACAAGTGTTCTCTTCGCCATTTAACGAACGTTCATATATATATATATATGGATAAAGAGTTATTTGGAATAGTATACGGAGCGTTTATTCGTTCACAACTTGAATATGGAATCCAAGCGTGGCGCTCGTGGCTGGAAAAAAACTATAATTTGTTGGAAAGAGTTCAGAGGAGTGCGACAAAAATTGTGAAAGGCCTCGTGACTTTACCTTCTAACTGCAAACTGGATGAGCTTCGCCTATTCCCTCTTGAGTACAGGCAGATCCGAGGATATCACATACAGACGTACCGGATTTTGAGGAACCGGGGCTATGCCCTGCACCTCAATGATATCTTCGCCTTCGCCACAACAACAAACCTGCGTGGGAACTCTCTTAAACTTCGAGGATACCGATGCCACCTGGACTTTCGCAGGTGTTCTTTTTCACAGCGAGTCGTAGGTGCCTGCAACGGGCTTCCCGAGGACGTGATAATGGTGGATTCCACGGAGACATTCAAACAAAGACTAGATGTATTATTGCTTGAAAACGCCGCTTAAGTGGACAGAACAGCACTGTTATACCAAACCAACGCCTAGCATACAACTACCGCTAATGCGGATGCCTGTTATCTCAATTTACCATTACCATCAACAACTGAGTGTTCTCGAGTTGCAGGCCCGCAATTTTGTGTTAAAAGAGTCACCTGCGTTCCGCCGCAGGCGTAAAATGCTCGCATATACTCACGTACAATAAGAACGAGTCCTGCCAACCACCTACTTTATTTTATGTGAGTCCTATTCTTCGTTGCACCCAGACCTACAGCCTCTTGCTCCTAGGTTAAAAACAGTCAGAGATCTAAAATCTGATCCTCCTTCAATGTGATCGACCTTAATGACAACCGAACAGGTCCCCCAGTCGAAAATTGCACATTAACTCTCTCGAAACCAAGTCTCCTTGTATTCAACGTGGTAAAATTCACAATAAAATTTTGCTGTTTCCCAAAGAACTTCACCTTTCTAATTATATTTCTTGGGATGCCTGTTTTTCAATTTAGACAATATTCAGTAAAATATATGTTACGGGCAATATTTTGGTAACATTGTTAGTTGTCTTAGATACTGTATGCACCGTTTTAAATAGGGTTTTTTAAATGCATTAGTTATTTCACATAAAATATACTAACCTATACGACCAATATTCCAGGTGGGGTCTTGCAAAGAGGCTGAAAATTCTTCTGAAAAGTTTGGTGGGAAATATTTTAAATGCCTGTCTGATCCAATGTAAAGCACTAGTTGCCTTCTGGATCAGGCGCGCATTGAAATATTTCTTTCCGAACTCTTAAGAAACTTTTCGGCGTCTTTGTAAGACCTCACCTAAAATATGGAATGCCAACAACTTCACCATGGATGAAGAAGGATATTGACCTACTTGAACGAGTGCAACGCGGAGCAACAAATATAGTCGATGGCATTAAGCATTTGTCGTACCAGGAGAGGTTGAATGTGCTCGGCTTATTCCCTATATCCTATAGGCAACTAAACTGCAGTCTACTATGGACATTCCGGATCGTCCGCGGTCAAATTTGTTCACTGAGAACGGATGAATCTTTTGAGTTTGCCACTGCTAGTCAACTACGCGGTCATCCTTTAGTCAGTTTAAGTCATTTTATTAAGGGAATGAGGCTTTAGCCCTTGAGCTCCCTATTCATATCGATAAACAGAAATAAAGTCATCAATTACATCAGCAAATGCGAAAAGATAAAAAGGTAACGGTGGGTGTGAGCTAGGCGCAAACTGCCGCCGCTAAAACAATCATTATTATATGTACAGTAGGTTCTCAAAAAATGAGCATCTAGTCTGCACTTAAAGGATTTGACACTTTCGGAAAGAACGACGGCATCAGGGAGTCCATTCCATGCCCCGATGACCCTGTGAGAGAAGGCGTTCCGTCGGACGTCCGAATGAGCCCGCTTCCCTTGCAGTTTAGATAGATAGATAGATAATTTTTATTAAAGACCCGTCGGGGTCCCATCAAAGCAAGTTACAATAAATTTGCATGCGAGTTTTAGACGAGGTAGGCTGAATCTTTACAAAATGCAATTCATAGTTTCTGAATTAGAAGTCCATTGAGAAACATGATGATTGAGGGGTGAAAAAAACTCCTTGGATGACCACGCAGACGGTCAGTCCGGGCCAATTCAAAGAATTCATCAAAGTCTAGGGCACACTCACGGCTTCTGACAATCCTGTAGGTTTGAATGAGATCGCCGCGCAGTTGCCTGTAATTTAGAGGAAACAGATTTAGTTCGGTCAGCCTGGTTTCGTAAGGCAAATGATGAAGATTCTTGACCATCTTCGTAGCCATCGCCTGTACTCTTTCCAGTCGTTGATAATCTTTCTTCAACCACGGTCGCCAGGCCTGGACTGCATATTCTAAGTGAGACCGGACGAATGCCCCATAGGTTTTCCGGAAGAGTTCTTTATCGATCTGCACAAATCCTCGCCTCAGCGCAAATAACACCCTTATCGCACTTTTGACTGCCCTTTGACACTGTGAAGATGGTTTCAGCGAGGAGGTCATTAGGACTCCCAGGTCTTTCTGTTCTACAACATTTGAAAGGGACTGACCACCAAGGACATATTGAAAGGAATCGTCCTCCTTACTGGTCTGTCTGGTGCGGAGCCTCAGGACCACACATTTGTCCACATTAAAATTGAGGAGCCAGCGAGCTGACCAACTGTTTAGGCGGTTGAGACTGTCTTGAAGCGCGTACCTGTCTGCATCAGATCTGATGGGTCTCCACAGCTTAACATCGTCAGCAAACATGATGGCGCTGCATCCCAGGTCGTCGACGCAGTCGTTAATGTAAACCAGGAATAGCAACGGCCCTAAGACGGAGCCCTGGGGTACACCACTTAGAACGGGGGTAGGAGTTGACCTTGAGGCTTCAATGCACACGGTTTGCGATCTCCCGGTAAGAAAATCTGTTATCCATGTCAGCAGCGTTCGTCTTATCCCGATTTCAGAAAGTTTGTAGATTAGGCGTTTGTGTGGGACGCTGTCGAACGCCTTCTTAAAGTCTGTGTATATGACATCAACCCTCCCATCCTCGTCCAGTGCCCGAGTCCACTGCTCCGTCGAGAGCAATAAACTGGAAAGACACGAGCGGTTCTGTCTAAAGCCGTGCTGCAGGTCAGAGATTAAATGGCCCTGCTCCAGGAACTCCATAGTTGCTTTCTTAACTATGGCCTCCATTATTTTACAGCAGATGCAGGTTAGACTAACAGGCCGGTAATTGTTAGCATTAGTGTGAGCCCCGCCCTTGTATATCGGAAAGATATTTGCTGTCTTCCATTCCGATGGCAACCTCCCTAATTCGAATGACGAGCGGAAGATTTGCGCCAGTGGTTTGGAAAGTTCATTCGCTAGTTCCTTCAAGAATTTGGCCGGTATATTGTCCGGACCCGAGGACTTTGCTTCTTTGAGATTTTTCAGCTCCCTTTCCACGACAGCTGCCGGGAAGAGTATGGAGTCAAGCACGCGATCAGCAGTCTCAACAGCATTGCTAGCACTGTGACAGCGAAACTCTGTTTCTCTAGTAAAAACCGAGGCAAAATACTGTCCTAAGTGTTCGGCTTTCTCGCTGTACTCAATGATATCTACACCATTACCATCCTTCGGCACCGCGACCGGGTCCTTATTTTTCAGTCTACTGTTAAGATAGTGAAATAAAATCTTAGGTTTCTGTTCAGCCTGTCGTATAATTTTGGATTGATACTCTTTCCGTGCCTGACGGATACATTTCTTGACTGCATTTCGTTGACGACGAAATTCTTCGAAATGCGCTGGTGACGCAGTTTCCCTGAATGTTTTCCATCTTTTGCTTTTCTTCCGTAGCTGCCTATTTAGGTCCCTAGTTAACCAAGCAGGTCGACTAGTTGTTTTTTGTACTTTAGGTGGACAACAGCGCCTAATCAGATCGAGTGAAATCGTTTTAAAAGATCTCCAGTCGTCCTCCGGATCTCCCCTGAGTATTTGGTCCTTACAAAGTCAAGAGCGGATGCACGCGGCTGGCCCGTAGGAAGTTCTTCTTCCGCCAACGGGTTGTCCGACCATGGAACTCGCCTCCAAGTGA